CATCAGCAAAGGGAAACCCACAGGGGTATCCAGAGGGGAGGCCAGATTGGGTATCTTGGGAGTGGGAAGTTGGGTCAAAGGTAAGATTTTTTCAGCGAGCAAGCTTGCTTCAGCTTGGAAGTGCCCAGGGGGCAGTGGGGGTTGGTGGACGCAGCAAGGAGGAAGTTCCGGGGTCTTTGACAGCGGCTGCTCCCCACTGCAGAGCTCACAATCTCTTGAGGACTTCAAGAATGAACGGATGGCCAAGCCTGGGCCTCCGCTGGGAACAGCACAGCCGTGGAAGAGGAGGGAGATCGTGCTCACTTGGGGGGCAGGCTGGAGAGAGAGGCTTGGGGTGGATGATGGTTTGGTTCTTATGTGAAGGAAAGTGAAGAACCACGTGCAGTTATTGCTCTGCTCTCCAAATCAATCCTGAATAACTGGGAGAGAAAAACTTAAAAATGAGACCAGTGAATGGGAGGTGGGAGGGGCTTGTGGCAGACGAGGTGGCCGCCCCACTCCTGTTGGCCATGGGAGCGCGGGGGGCCACATGCATGCCAGGGACACCGAGCTCCTGGCCCTGGGCCAGCCTCACTGGCAGTGGCTGGGGACAGTGGGTCTCTGTGTCTCCTCCTCGTCTCTGCAGTCCCTGGCTGGGTGCCCACCCTCTCCCTCATCTCGCCGTCTGCCTTCCTTTCATTTCTTTTTGGCGTGGTTCTCTCACTGTCCAGGAAGGAACTTGGCGTCTTGCACTCCAGGCAGGCAGAGCCAGGAGCCCAGCTGACCCAGAAGGGCTCGGGTGGAGTGGGTGGGTGATGGGAAAGCGGCTGGTGCCCCGAATGCAGAGCCTGCCCCATCTGCTGTGCCTGGAGGGCACCCCTCACTCCTCAGGCTCTCCAGAAGGTCAGCCATGGGGCCAGGGTTGGGGCCCATTCTGTACCCTGCTGTATCCCAGGGACCATTTAAATGGGGGCCTGGCACAGACCAGGAGTTCATTTGTTAATTGAATAAGCAAAGCCCAAAGCCCCCTGTGTTCCTCGCCTGAGCCAAGAAGGAAGCCTGGGCCTGACCGCTGAGTCCACCCACCCTCCTTGTGGGTAGGAAGGCAGTGGCATTGCATAACTGACCACCTACAGGACTGGGCCATGCCAAGAGGGAGCAGGCGCCTTGATGCTCCTAGATCGCCGGCCAGACTCCCCCTCCCTGGTCCTTGGAGCCTCCTTGCTTCTTCAACCCCTGTCAGAGTCCATGGGACAAGGCGAGACTGGGGACACTGTCTACTCCCCCAGATGTGGCTGATCTCAGCCTGGAGCCTCTCCCCAGGGCTGCCCAGGACCGGGGTTCAGATCATGAGCCCAGGATGCACTGTGGACTGTGTGTTCCCCACACTCATGCACCGAGAGACCCATCTTGTTTCCCATGAGCCCCTTGGTGCTGGGTGCCGGGTGAGGGCATAGCCCTGGTGAGCCTGGTGGTCTTCTCCAGGCTCTGATGTTTCCTTCCAGTGCCCCGGCCCTCCCCTCAATGTGCAGTATGTGGAGGTTGAGGGGGCTGCTGTGGTCTGAATGTGTCCCCCATCTCTCTGCCCATAATGTACTAACATCATTGTTATGGGAGCAGGCTCTGACAGAAGGAGGAGTTTGGCTCCCTTCTTTCTGGCTGTTCTCTCTCCCTCTCTGCCCTTCTGTGGTGGGATGAGGCAGTACAAAGGCCCCTGCCAGAGGCAGCCTCTCAATCTTGGACCTCCCAACCTCTAGGACGAGGAGCCAAGAAGTTACCCAGTCTGTGGTTTTCTGTTCTAACAGAACATGATGGACTAGGACCGCAGGACTTGCGAAGTCCCCCCAGTTTATCACCCTTAGGCCACACCCTGATATGGTTTGGATCTGTGTACCTGCCAAATCTCATGTGGAATTGTAATCCCCAATGCTGGAGGTGGGGCCTGCTGGGAGGGTATTGGATGCTGGGGGTGGATTTCCCCCCGGTGCTGTTCTTATGATAGTGAGTTCTCATGAGACCTGCTTGTTTAAAAGCATATGGCACCTCCCCTCTCTTCCTCTGGCTTCCTCCTGCTCCGGCCATGTGAAGTGCCAGCTCTTCCTTTGCCTTCCGCCATGATTGTAAGTTTCCTGAGCCCGCCCCCAGAAGCCATGTGGATGCCAGCACCATGCTTTCTGTACAGCCTGGGGAACGGCAAGCCAATTAAACCTCCTTTCTTTATGAATTACCCAGTCTCAAGTATTCTTTATACCAGTGCGAGAACGGACGAGTACGCCCACTTTGTCCAATCCAGTCACACTTCTGCATGACTCTCCATCAAACTTCACATTAAAATACACGGGTTTCCCTCTTCCTTTGGGTCCTCATTTCTTTTTTTTTTTCTTTTCTTTTCTTTTCTTTTTTTTTTTCTGTCACCCAGGCATCTCGGCTCACTGCAACCTCCACCTCCCGGATTCAAGAGAGTCTCCTGCCTCAGCCTCCCCAGTAGCTGGGACTACAGGTGCCTGCCACCATGCCTGGCTGATTTTGTATTTTTAGTAGAGATGGGGATCTCACTATATTGGCCAGGTTGGTCTCGGAACTCCCGACTTCAAATGATCCACTCGCCTTGGCCTCCCAAAGTGCTGGGTCCTCATTTCTGAAGGCTCCTATACTACATGAAACTGATATTGAATACATGTGTCTGCTTTTCTCTTGTTAATCTGTCTTTTGTTATGAGAGCCTCAACCATGAATCTGGCGACAAATGAGGAAATAAATCTTTTCTCCTCCAGGTGCTTCAGACGTGCTGGGGGATTCTGTGAGGGCCTCGCGGTTTAGAGAAGCAAGACTCCCATCACAGGGCCCCGGGCAGAGAGCACACCACACCAAAGACGGTGGGACGCCCAGCTGGGCCGGGCCGGGACCCAGGGAAGCCTAGGAGGAGACTGCCCTCTGCCCCACCCGCCTGGGAGCACCTCCCCTGGGGCGTTCTTCCAAATCTGGTGTCCGCCTTGACGTGCTCCTGATTCCTTTGCTTCTTGTCCTACACTCCCTGTGCAGGCTCTGGAGACAGAGCTCTGATGGCTCGTGGGTCCCCATCACTTTCACTCTTGGCCATGTCAAAGGCTGCTGGTCAGACCCTGAGTCCCTCTGCAGTGGCCCAGGGTTCCAAGGTCCTGTAGGTCAGAAGGAAGGGCCTTACCCCACTCCATCAGGGGCTATGGATGGAGCCCCCAACCAGGGCTGTCATGGGAGGGTTTGAGCGCCCACGCCTGTCCAAGCAGCTGCAACTGCAGTTCTTCCCGGAGCTTCGAGCCCTTTGGGCGTCTGCCCGCTCTCCCTCTGGCAGAATGTGACGCACCTGCTGGTCTGATTCCATGATAGGAAGACAAGCAAGTTGCAGTCCTGACCTTCAGTGCCTCATATGTGACCTTATTTGGAAATAAGGTCACTGCAGATGTAACTAAGCTATAGCCATTAGGATCCTGCTCAGATCTGACCGGTGACCTTAGGAACAGGGAAATTTGGATGCAGACGCACACACAGGAAGGACGCCGTGTGAAGGTGAAGGCAGAGATTAGAGTGATGCTCCATGAGCCAAGAAGCACAAGGCTGCGGGGGAGCCCTAGAGGCTGGAGGGACTGGGCAGAGGCTGCAGGGACTGGACAGAGGCTGCAGGGACTGGGCAGAGGCTGCAGGGACTGGGCAGAGGCTTCAGGGACTGGGCAGAGGCTCCCTCGCAGCCCCCGAAGGAACCAGCCCCAACAACAACTTGGGCTTGGACTTGGGGCCCCCAGGGCTGGGGAGATAAATGTCTGCTGTGAAGGCTGCCAGAGTGTGGCGTTTTGCTGTGGCAGTCCTGGCAGACGACGGTGCGTGACTTTAGTCATGCTTAACAAGCAGCCCCGAATGGTGCGGACCCATCAGAATGGGGTTGGCCACGGCATCGAGTGACGTTCCAGAAGCTCTCTGTCGTGCCCTGCTTGGATCCTGTGGGAAGGGACTGGGTGGCCTCTGGGGGACACCTGGAGGCTCAAGGTCGGGGCTGTTCAGCCAGCATGGAAGCCGTTCTGTGTTTTAACAACCACATGTATGTGCAGGTGCACACCACTCAATATCAGGCCTGCGAGACAAGAAACGCCCTCAGGTCCCAGGTGGACATGGCTTCCGTGTCAGCAGAGCTCCAGGCCCAGGCACGACCTTTGGAATTTGTTGTTTCCAAACCGCTGAGGTTTGGTTCCCCGAGAGACACTGCCAGACAGACGTGCAGGTCAAGGGTAAAGTGGCGAGTGCTCTTAGGGACAAAGGCTGGGAGAGAGGGAAGGAGCAGGTGTGGGGAGCTGAGCTGTGTTGCACTCGCAAAGATGGTTTCTGATGATGCCTTGGGTGCTTTTGGAGCATTGGCCTTTAGAGAGGCCATGAATTGAGGTGAAAGACCTGACCTGTTGCTTCCTCTATCGACCATTCATTGGGTTGAGGTGGCTTCCAGGGCAGGGAGAAACCATGGGTGAGGGACCTGACTTTGGCTGAGGGCATTTCCTTGGGAGAAGAGAGCTGAGAGCTGTGGGCAGCCGGCTGGACCAGTGCTCTGGTCCCACTGGGAGGGATGGTGCAGTGCACAGCGGTGAGCGCCTGCCATGGTCCTCCATGATGTAGATTGATAGATACAGAGACAGAAAAACGGAGTGAGATAGATGAGTAAGTACAGATCCATAGAGACCAAGACAGACAGACAGATAGACAGGCAGACAGACAGGCAGACAGGCAGGCAGGCAGATAGACAGATAGGCAGACAGACAGACAGGCAGGCAGGCAGGCAGACAGACAGACAGACAGGCAGATAGACAGGTAGGCAGATAGACAGGCAGACAGACAGACAGACAAGCAGGCAGGCAGGCAGACAGACAGACAGATAGACAGGCAAACAGGCAGACAGACAGGCAGGCAGGCAGACAGACAGACAGGCAGATAGATAGATCGAGATTACCATAGAGATAGAGCTAGAGATAGATCAGAGAGATATACAGATGTAGACAGAGATATAGGTAGACATAGAGAGAGATAAGTAGAGACATAGGTAGCTAGCTGAGTAGCTGGATGGATGGATGGATGGATGGATGGATGGATGGATGGAAGAAAGGGGAGTTTATTATGGGAATCGGCTCACATGATTATGGAGACTGAGAAGTCCCATGATTTGCCCTGTGCAAGGGGACCCAGGGAGCCTGGTAGTGTGGCTCAGTTTAAGCCTGAAGATCTGAGAACCAGGGAGGCCGACAGTGTAACTCGCAGTCAGAGGGGCCACTGGTATAAGTCCCAGGGTCCAAAGGCCAGAGAACCAGGAGTTCCGATGTCTAAGGGCAGTAGGAGGTGGGTGTCCCATCTCTGGCGGGGGAAGAGAGAGCAAGAGAGCACCAATTCATCTTTCCCTTCTGCCTGGGCCCTCAGTGGATTGGACGGTGCCCTCCCACACTGGGTGAGGACAGACCTTCCTTACTCAGCCCACGGACTCAAACGCCAGCCTCTCCTGGAAACACTCTCACAGGCACACCCAGAGATAATGCTTTCGTGCTCTCTGGGTATCCCTTCATCCAGTCAAGTTGACAGCTGAAACGAACCATCGCAAGTTCACTCCTTGTCAGCTTGGAACCCATACACGCCTCCTTAAACTGTACTTCATCTCCAAATAGACAGCAGCAAGGTCATGGTTCCAACCAACATGTTACAACTATCCCACAAACAACCAGACACGCACTGACTCCCTCCCTGGAAGAGGAGGTGAAGTCTCTCCCAATATCCCATGGCCTCAACACTGTCATGTAAAATTCACAATACCTTGATACTGAGACAAAGTCAGCAGATCTTACACTACATGATAAAGGAGTAAGAGAGGAAAGAAAACAGATATTTGCTGAATATATGTACGCATACGCACAAATGCTTTCTTAGCAAAATAGAGAGGAAACATTCGTGACAGTTGCAGTCCTCGTTTCTGCAACTGGCCAAGCTACAGGAGTACCTGGTATTTATAACCACTGTCCATTCTGTAGTCCCTTTGCCCTCAGCAAGCACCTCAGCTGGTAATGGTTCTGTACCTGGCCGGGGGACCCAAGGCTTCAGTGCTTAAGGGTCTGGGCCTTGCTGTAGTTTCCTAGGGAAACTTGCCTTGCTGTGGTTTCCAGGGATCTTAACCACAGGGTGTGGTTACACTTAGAGAAGCTCTAAGGGGCCTCCTGCATTCCACACACTCCTCCACGTCTCCAGTGTGGAGTGCAGTCCAATGTCCCCTGGGTCCTCTGGTTCAATCCCCAGCCAGCATCCAAACTCCCTTATCGGCCTGTTGACTCTGAGGCTTGAGGAGCCCCAAGTGCCCAGGTGGCACTTTAACTTCCAGTTCAATGGAGTCATTGTTGTGTCTCCTGGTGGCAGCATTCCTCACCTCGGAACCAAGGCCCCTAGGCCAGCAGAGCGTAAAGTCATGGGAACAGGAAACAAAAACCCTGCTACTGGGTCACTGGGGGTGACGGTGGGTGGTGCCACTCCCACTTCTGCCCCTTGGTTCCTGGACCCGTGAATCCTGACTGTGGGAGAGACAGCTCCACATATCGGACCCTGATCCAGAGCACAGACAGCCTCCTGGAGCAGCACCTTGCCCCAGCCCTCCAAGGCATCGCCACCCAGCTGGTGCTGGAGCCGTGTTTGCAAAAGCCCATTCCACCATTCTATCACGCCAGCTGCTTCAGGATGATGGAGTATGTGGTAAGACACGTGAATGCCCCGAGCATGAGCCCACCGCCACACTTCTTTGGCTGCAAAGTGAGTTCATTGGTCAAAGCAATGCTGTGTGGACAGCACGGCAGTGGATGAGGCGTTCTGAGCCCACAGATGGTAGTGACGACAGAAACACCGTGCGCAGGGAAGACAAATGCATATCCATGGCAGGCCCCTATCCCAATAAGAACAAACCAGCGCCCCTCCCATGATGGGAGCCATCCAGTGTCACCCACCTGCCCCCAGGCACCAGGCTGATCACTCTACGGAATGGAGCCTCAGTGCCCCTCCCATGATGGGAGCCTCTAGTGTCACCCACCTGCCTCCAGGCACCAGGCTGATCACTCTAGGGAATGGAGCCTTAGCACCCTTCCCATGATGGGAGCCTCTAGTGTCATCCACCTGCCCCCAGGCACCAGGCTGATTACTCTGGGGAATGGAGCCTGTCAGGCTGAGTGTTGGTCTCTGCTGCTGGCAGATGGGCACACAGTGCTGGTGGTACCCAGCTTGGCCTTGGTGAGTGGAAGTCCATGTTGCTGAGCCCATGCACAACCTCCATCCCTGCCACCACAGCCACTTTGCTCAGGAGCTCACTGGGTGATGAGAGGGGTGGCTGGGAAAAGCCTAACTGGTGTCCATAGAGCAGGTCATCCTGTCCACATGATTACTGAAGTCCTCCTCTGCTGAGGTCACCCTTTGGTGAGCATCCACGTGGGACACAGATATCTTGATGTCATTTGCCTGTTCAGAGAGGGCTGTCTATACATCTCTTCCATACATTTCTCGGTCACCAATTTTCCAATCATGTTCCTTTCAAGCACCTGACCATCCACCTAAATCAATGGCAACAGCCATGAATCAAATATCGTCACACATCTGCTCCTTCTAAGTGGAGCACAGACAGGTGCATGCCGGAAGTTCTACCCACGGGGAAGACTCCTCTTCACCACTGTCCTTGAGGGATGTCCCCTAGGGGCTATAGGACCGCAGCTGTCCACCTTCCGGTAGTGTCTGCATACTGAGCAGAACCATTTGTAAGTCTGGCCTCAGTTTTCTCTTCCTCTGTCAACTAATGAGAGGGAACTCCCCACGAAGCCACAGGTACAGACGGGGAGGGAGAAGGCAGGGGAGCAGCAGTGGGGTGGCCCAACAGGCTTTGGGCCACTACTTCACGTAACTTACTTGTGCCTTCAGGACCTGCGTGGGCCTGATCACCTATCCCCCGCTTCCACTGGCTGATGCAGCACTGCTGTGCACACACGACTTTATGGCTACGTGGGTCAGATGGTCCCCAGATCATGATGAGCAGTTCAAGTCACGTGGTAACCTGGTGGCCCTTGTCTAGTTTAGTTTCTCTTCCTTCCTTCCTTCCTTCCTTCCTTTCTTCCTTCTTTCTCTTTTTTTTTTTTTTTTTTTTTTTGAGATGGAGTCTTGCTCTGTCACCCAGGCTGGAGTGCAGCAGCGCAATCTTGGTTTATGCCAGTCTCCTGCCTCAGCCTCCCGAGCAGCTGGGACTACAGGCGCCCGCCACCACACCCGGCTAATTTTTTGTATTTTTAGTAGAGACGGGTTTCACCGTGTTAGCCAGGATGGTCTCGATCTCCTGACCTTGTGATCCGCCCGCCTTGGCCTCCCTAAGTGCTGGGATTACAGGCTTAAGCCACCATGCCCAGCCTCTTTCTTTCTTTTTTTTTTTTTTTATGAGACAGAGTCTCCCTCTGTCACCCAGGCTGGAGTGCAGCGGCACCATCTTGGCTCACTGCAACCTTCGCCTCCCGGGTTCAACCGATTCTCCTGCCTCCGCCTCCTAAGTAGCTGGGATTACAGGCACTCGCCACCATGCCTGGCTAATTTTGTATTTTTAGTAGAGACAGAGTTTCACCATGTTGGCCAGGTTGGTCTTGAACTCCTGACCTCAGGTGACCCGCCCACCTCAGCCTCCCAAAGTGCTGGGATTATAGATTCACACTGCCAAATGTTTAATTTCTACAAAGGCCCAGAAGCAGGGCAAGAGCTGTTTCTCAGAAGGAGAGTGAGTTATCTGTGGATGATGACAGGACCTTGCTCCCAAATCCTAAAGGCCTGTGCCTACAGGGGCCTGGCAAAGGCTCCACACAGGGTCTCTGTTTGCCACTGACACCCCAGGCACCATTGGATCTGCTGGGTCGTGTGGCCCACGTGGCAGAACGGCATGCGCAGAACCTGGACCTACTGCACAGACTTCTCTTGCTCTGGGCCATGCTTCGAACTAGCAGCTTTTCAGATCACTCAGTAAATGGACAGAGTTGGACACCTAAAAGAGAAAGAACATGTCAACCCCATGTCAAACAGGCCCGCTTAGTGCTGTTTTTCTCTTTTGGTTGCAGGAGGATTCAGATGCAATGACTTGTCCTTTACCTTAGAACAGGCCCCACACCCCTGGACGTTTCCCTGAGGTAGAAGGCTCTGAATTGCAGCTGGGTTTATTCCCCACCCTCTGACACCGACAAGTCTGGAATGGTGGCTACTTCTTGTGCCTTACGTCCCATCAGCATGATGTCATCAGTGTAATGGGCCAGTGTGACATCCTGGGGAAGGAAGAGGTGATCGAGACCCCTGAGAATTACCTCCGACACAGGCTGGAGAGGTGAGAGGCCCCTGAGGTGGGGTGGAGAGGGTGCGTTGCTGGCCTGGCTTCTGCCGGGCCTTGTGGACGGGGGTGGAGGAGAACGCATTTGCCGGATCAGTAGCTGCGCACCAGGTAGCAGGAGATGTGCTAATTTGCTCAAGCAATGGAAACACGTCTGGCTCAGCAGCTGCAGTTGGAGTCAAACTTAGGACAGTCTCCCGTCATTCTCCAGGACCCACCTGTCTCCCCTACGGGCCGAACAGGCGAGTGGAATGGGCTGTGGTGGGGATCACTGCCCCTGCGTCTCTCAAGTGCTTGGTGGTGGCGCTGATGTCTGCAGTCCCTCCAGGGATGTGGGATGGCTTTTGACTGACGGTTCTAGGTAGAGGCCTCTCTAACGGCTTCCACTTGGCCTTTCCCCTGATAGCAGCCCAGGTCAGGGGACGCATGTGGGGACTCTGCCGGCTGCTGAGTGTGTCTGTTCCACTTACGGATCTGGAGCCGGGGAAATGACCACAGGATGGGCCGGGGACCCACTGGACCCAGGAGTCAGACCTGAGCTAAAACTCCATTGATCCCCTGGCTCCCTAAGCCCCTCCCTAACTGGATGGCCACAGCGTCCCTCCAGCATCTCCTAGAATCAATGTGAGGACAGAGCCAGTGTCCAATTGTCCCAAAATGTTGCATTATTTTATTTTCTCCAATACACAGTTACCCAGATGGAAGGCCATAGACCCCTTTGGAGAAGACCAGGGGAAGAATTAACAGTGTATATACATTTTTGGCAGTCCTGGGGTCCTTCCTCAAGGGAACCCAGACTTTCTTTCATTCTTTCTGGATTCATAGACTGACTCAAGTCTGTGAATGACTGAGGCCATGATTCTCGGTTTTTATGGTTGGAGTTAGAGTTCTGTCCACTTGATCTGGAAGTTTTTTGCTTGTACCCAGTAGGAATTGAGCAGGCTTCTGGTCTGTTTCACTGCTAGGAACAACATGGTAAGCAGCCAGCGCCATAGGTCTACATGGGTCAGACCTGTGGCCCAGGTCTGACTGCTACTTTGCCTCTGCTGTCGGTCATGGTAACCACGCCCACTTTGCCTTTGGTGCTTGAGTGCCCCCACTTGGGCCCTGCTACCCCAGGATCCAATTATTCCTGTTGCATGTAAGTTTTGCAGTTGATTACTGCAGTTCCTACTGTGAGTCTGGCCTACAGAGAAGAACAATTGCAGAGCTCTGCAAGGAGACTGGGCTCCCTCACAAATCTATGTCTCAGCGTTGTGAAACCACAGTCCTCAGCCTTTTTGGCACGAGGGACTGGTTTCATGGAAGAGTATTTTTCCACAGACTCGGAGTTGGAGGGTGGTTTGGGGATGATTCAAACACATTACATTTATTGTGCACTTATCTGTATTATTATTACATTGTAATATATAAGGAAATAATTACACAACTCACCACCATGTAGAATCAGTGGGAGCCCTGAACTTGATTTCCTTCAACTAGACAGTCCCATGTGGAGGTAATGGGAGACAGTGACAGATCATCAGGCATTAGATTCTCATAAGGAGTGTGCAACCTCGATCTCTCATATGTGCAGTTCACAGTGGGGTTTGTGCTCCTATGAGAATCTAATGCTGCTGCTGATCAGACAGGAGGCGGAGCTCAGGTGGTAATGTGAGCGAGGGGGAGTGGCTATAAACACAGATGAAGCTTCGCTCACTCGCCCACCGCTCACCTCCTGCTGCGTGGCCCAGTTCCCAACAGGCCGTGGACCAGCACCAGTCCCTGGCCTGGGGGGCTGGGGACCCTGTTGTGAAAGGTCTGAGTTCTGGGCCCTTCCAGGGTGGGTGAGGAAGTTTTAACTGTCACATTCCAGTCTCTCTAAGTCTTTGAACCCCTTTCTCTATGTTAAGCCAAGGGGGCTTAAGCACCTCCAGCTGGCTCACTGCAGGCATCCTTTGATCCATGTTTCAACTAACCCACCAGATAGAGCTTTTCCAAGTCCCCGAGCTGCAGCCTGGAATGCAGCCTCTGCTTGGTGGACACGTCTGCACACCCGGCCCCTCCACCTCCACGTTCCTCCCCCCGTGCCCACACCCAGTGTCCATTCCCACTCATGCCTCCGGGTGTCTGTCTGTATATGTCAGAGAGGTCAGGTGGCTCTTCTGGGATGTGGCCTGTCTCCTCCTGTGTCACACCGTGGGCCTCACCTTCAAGGGGCTGCTGGGCTGTGAGTTTTGTTATAGGTCTTGAAGCAAAGGGAGGGGTTGGGGAGGCTCCTGAGAAGAATCAGCAACTGCCTTAGGGGAAGTCCTTACCCTTTCCTCAGGCAACACAGATTAATGCCTCAGAGGAGGTGGCAAGGCCAGTACTTCTGGGGGTGGGTGCAACACTGGGGGTGGGTGTAGCACTGGGGGTGGGTGTAGCACTGGGGGTGGGTGCAGCACTGGGGGTGGATGTAGCACTGGGGGTGGGTGTAGCACTGGGGGTGGGTGCAGCACTGGGGGTGGGTGCAGCACTGGGGGTGGGTGTAGCACTGGGGGTGGGTGCAGCACTGGGGGTGGGTGTAGCACTGGGGGTGGGTGCAGCACTGGGGGTGGGTGTAGCACTGGGGGTGGGTATAGCACTGCCACTGGGTGCAGGGAGGCTGCTTCTGCTGACAAAATGACTCATCGTAACTTAGAGGCTCACCGTCCCCAGCTTCATCAGGGTCCTCCCATATGTCTCCATCCCAATTTACAGGATCCCCTGTTCCCCAGTCAATGCCCTCACTGTAACAGTGGACAACCTGCAAGGCTGAGAGTTCAACTTGCTCTGTAATTCATCCAGTTTCATGATGAGGACTCTGTTTCCTTTTCAGCAGTCTTGGCCCTAGGGCTACAGGAAAGGAGATTCTCCTTCAGGGTTCACTCAGCCACTCACAGGTTATTTATACAGAGCTGGAACTGGGAATTTGAATCACTGAGCACATCCTTTGATTTCATCACTTTGTCCAGCAACCAACTGGTAACCAGCCTACATCACTATATTCCTTGGTTTTCCACAAGCATTCGAAAATATCATATACAGAGTCACTAAGCTCCTCACCTCTTGTAAGTGGTTTACTAGGAGTATACAATGCAGAAATTTGCATATTTTCATAAACTGTTCACACCATGGACCATCAGTGTTCTGTGTACTATTGAAAGTAGAGTTCCTTGCACTTTTAAGTCAAGTCATATTAGAAAGCCAGTTCCAAAAAGCACAACACACATTCAGAAAACTCATTCTTATGATTCTGTTTCTCTAGAATCGCTCCTGATACCAAAACCTATGTTAGGGTTCTTCAGGTAAACAGAACCGATAGGAGAGAAATAGGATTGAGGCCAGGTGTGGTGGCTCACACCTGTAATCCCAGCACTTTGGGGGGCAGAGACTGGTGGATCACGAGGTCAAGAGTTTGAGACCATCCTGGACAACATGGTGAAACCCCATCTCTACTAAAAATACAAAAATTAGCTGGATATGGTGGCACGTGCCTGTAGTCCCAGCTACTCAGGAGGCTGAGGCAGGAGAATCGCTTGATTCTCCAGGAGGCAGAGGTTGCAGTGAACCGAGATCACGCCACTGCACTCCAGCATGGGGGACAGAGCGAGACTCCATCTCAAAAAAAAAAAAAAAAAAGAAAAGAAAAGAAATAGGATTGATACAGGTATGGATATGTAGATACATGAAAAGGGATTTATTATGGGAACTAGCTCATATGATTACGGAGGCTGAAAATTCCCACAATAGGCCATCTGTAAGCTGGGGACCAGGGAAGCCAGCTGTGTGGTGCAATGTAAGTGTGAAGGCCTCAGAATCAGGAAAGCCAGTCGGGTAACTCTCAGTCTGCAGCTGAAGGCCTGAGGACCTGGAGGCCACTGGTACAAGTCTCAAGGTGCGAAGGCTGAAGAATCTGGAGTTCTGATATCCAAGGGCAAGAGAGATGGGTGTCCCAGCTCCAGAAAAGAGCGTGTGGAGAGGCAAAGAGAGAGGGAGAGTTCGCCTTTCTTCTACCGTTTTTCCTTATCTGGACCCATGACTGATTGGATAGTGCCCACTCACGCTGGGTGAGGATGGACCTTCTCTACTGTCATGGTTTGAATTTGCCTTCTCCAAGTTTTTTTTTTTTTTTTTGAGACAGAGTCTCACTCTGTCGCCCAGGCTGGAGTGCAGTGGTGCGATCTCGGCTCACTGCAACCTCCGCCTCCGGGCTTTAAGCGCTGCCTCAGCCTCCCGAGTAGCTGGGACCATAGGTGTGCACTGCCACGCTCAGCTAATTTTTGTGTTTTGTAGACACAGAGTTTCTCCATGTTGGCCAGGCTGGTCTTGAACTCCTGACCTCAAGTGATCTGCCCGTCTCAACCTCCCAAAGTGCCAGGATTATGGGCATGAGCCACTGCGCCTGGCCTCCAAACATTATATTTAAACTTAATCCCCGCTGTGGTGGTATTAAGAGGTAGAGTTTTTTGAGACGTGATTAAGTCATGAAGGCTCAGTCCTCATGAATGGACTAACGCTCTTATAAAAAAGGCTTCAGAGATAGTTCACCTTGTATTGCTCTTCCACTGTCCACCGTGTGATGACACAGCATTTGTCCCCTTCAGGAGAGGCAGCGACAAGTCTTCATCTTGAAGAAGAGACTGGGGCCCTCACCAGACACCGAAACTGCCAGTGTCCTGATCTTGCACTTTTTCCAGCCTCCCGTACTGTGACATAATAAATTTGTTGTAGAAATGACCAAACTACAGGTATTTTGTTATGGCCGCACAAAGGGACTGAGCTGTAATTTGCTACCCATAGGTGGGGTGTTGCTGTAATAAATACCTGAAAATGTGCAAGCAGATTTCGAACTGGGTAACGGGTTGAGGTTGGAAGTGTTTCGGAGTGCATGGTAGAAAAAGCCTAAACGGCTGTGAACAAAGTATTAAAGGCAATTCTGGTGCAGGTTTAGAAGAAGAGGAGATCTGTAGAGAGAGCCTCAGTCTTCTTAGAAATGTTTAAGTGGGCCTGTCGCTCGCAGTGGCTCACGCCTGTAATCCCAGCACTTTGGGAGGCCGAGGTGGGCGGATCACAAGGTCAGGAGATTGAGACCATCCTGGCTAACACGGTGAAACCCCGTCTCTACTAAAAATACAAAAAATTAGCTGGGCGTGGTGGCGGGTGCCAGTAGTCCCAGCTACTGGGGAGGCTGAGACAGGAGAATGGCGGGAACCCGGAAGGCAGAGCTTGCAGTGAGCCGAGATCGTGCCACTGCACTCCAGCCTGGGTGACAGAGCGAGACTCCGTCTAAAAAAAAAAAAAAAAAGAAAGAAAGAAATGTTTAAGTGATCATGATCCCAAAGCTGGTAGAAATACGAAAAGTAAAGATGAAGTCTTAGATCAAAATAAGGAATATCTTATTGGAATCTGGAGGAAAGACCGTTCCTGTTACAAAGCGGTAAAGAACTAGGCTGAATTGTGTCTGTGCCTGAGGGCTTTGTGGGAGGCAGAATTTAACAGTGATGAACTAGAATACTTAGAGGAAAAAATTTCTAAGCAAAACGTGAAGGGGGCTGCATGGCTTCTCCTAACTGCGTAGAGTGAAATGCAAGAAGAGAGAAATGAGTTAAAGAGAGAATCTATAATCAAAAGAGAAGCAGAACTTAAAGGTTTGGAAGAGTCTCAGCTTGGCCACGTGTTTAGGAGAGAAAACCAAGGGTGCGGCCCAGTGACCATTTGATAAGATTCGTGGGGATAGAGGGAAGTCAGGTGCTATTCATTAAGACAATGGAAGAAGGGCCCTGACAGCATCTCAAAGATCTTCCAGACTGCCGTGGCCATCACAGGCTCAGAGTCCTAGGGCTTTGAGGGCAGAATGGAGTCAAGGGAGGAACCCCGGGCTCTGGAGGGTCCCTGGGTGCCTATAGGACCTTGGGCCTCCATGCCTAGTACTGCCTCAAGTCTCTGCTCCCTGTGTTCCAGTGTAGCACTCCTCAGCTGCCTCAGCTATGGCTCACATGGGCCCAGGTGTGGCTCAGGCTGCCCCTCCAGAGGCACAAGCAATAAACCTTGGCAGCATCCTCTGCAGGCACACACAGAGCATGTGCTATGGAGATATGGCCTAGTAGAGTCATGGGGTCAGCCATGGGATCAGTAGAGCCTCAACCACGGGCCAGTAGAAACACCGCTGCGCAGCTCCAGCCTGGGACAGCCAAAGGCATGGGACTGCAATGCTTGGGAGCCACAGCCAGCAAAGCCATGGGGGCAGGACCACCTGGAGACTTGGGGGCCCAACGCCCACCCTAGGGTGTCTGAAAGGTGGGACGTGGAGTGAAAGGAGATGATGCTCAAGTTTCAAGATTTGATTTTGCTTGCCTTGTTCAACGTTGGATTTACTTGGGATCTATTATCCCTTTTTTCATTCCTAGTGCTCCCTTTTGGAACGGAAATACCCATCCTATGTCTGTCCTACCATGATATTTTGGAAGCATGTAACTTGTTTGATTTCGTAGGTTTACAGCTGGAGAGCAATTTGCCTCAAGATGAATATTACCTAGAGTCTCACTCATATCTGATGTAGACAATGTTTAGATAAGACTTTGGACTTTTATTTTAAAGTTGATGCTGGAATGAGTTAAGACTTTTGGAGTTACTGGGATGGAATGTATATATTTTTAATGTGATAAGATCACAAATTTTGGGGGACTAGGAGTAGAATGCTATGATTTGAACATATCCCCTAGAAATTCATGTTAAAACGTAATCCCATGGTGGTATTAAGAGGCAGGGCTTTTGGGAAGTGATTAAGCTATGCAGGCTCTGTCCTCATGAATGAATGAATACCCTGTCAAAAAGGCTTCAGGGACAGTTCACCCTGTATTGCTCTTCCACTATCCTCCATGCGAGGACCCCAGCATTCGTCCCCTCTGGAGGAGGCCGCCACAACGCACCATCTTGGATGCAGAGATAGGGTCCCTCACCAGACAACGTATTTGCTGCCACCTCGATCTTGAACTTCCCAGCCTCCAGAACTGTGAGAAAATAAGTTTCTCTTCTTTATAAATTACTCAGTTTCAGGTGTTTTCTTATAGCAGCACAAATGAACTAAGACACTCAGTCCACTGATTCAAGTGCCGATATCTTCTGAGAACGCCGTCACAGACTGTCTTAGGCTGTGATTGCACTGCTATAGGGAAAAACCTGCAACTGGATAATTTATAAGAAAAGAGATTTAATTGGCTTATGTTTCTGCAGGCTATATAGGAAGCATAGCAGCAACTGCTTCTGGGGAGGCCTCTGGAAGCTTCCAATCATGGCAGAAAGCAAAGGGGGAGCAGGCATGTCACATGGCAAAAGCATGAGCAAGAGAGAGGTGGGGGGAGGTGCCACACACTTTTAAACAACCAGATCTTGTGACTCACCATCTCGAGGACATCACCAAGCCATGTAGCATCTGCCCCTGTGATCCAGTCACCTCCCACCAGGCTCCACCTCCAGCATGAAGGATTATAATTCAGCATAAGATTTGGGTGGGGGATGGAGGGTGAATATCCAAACTATATTACAGACACACCCAGAAATAATGCTTTTCCAACTATCTGGGTATCACTTAATCTAGTCAAGTTGACACCCAAAATTAGCCATCACATCTTGCAAAGCATTATTTCTGGGTATCTGTGAGGGTAGATTTGAAAGAGATTGTCATTTGAATCCATGGACTGAATAAGAAAGATCTACCCTCACCTGATGTGGGTGGGCACCATCCAATAGGTTGAGGGCCTAGAGAGAGAAAAAAAAGGCAGGGAATGACAGATTCTCCTTCTCTCCAGAGCTAGGAAACCCATCTTCTCCTGTCTGTGGGCATCGGAACTCCGGGTTCTCCAGCCACTGCACCTTGGGACTCATACCAGTAGCTACTCCACCACCACCAGTTTTCAGGCCTTTGGCCTCAGACTGAGAGTTACACAATCTGTTCCCCTGGTTCTGAGGCCTTTGGGCTTGGACTGAGCCCCGCACCAGCTTCTCTAGGTCTCCAGCTTGCAGACTGCCTGTCGTGAGACTTCTCAGCCTGCATAATCAGGTGAGCCAATTCCCCTCGTAAATCCTCTCATGTCTGTGTGTATATATCCTGTGGTTCTGGTTCTCTGGAGAACGCTGACTAATACCTGGGTTTACAAGTTTAGAGAAATAGCCAACTGCAGCCCCTGTCCCACAGCTGGTCTTGGCCACGGCTGACATGACCCCCGTTCTTCTCTGACTCACGCTTGTTTCCCTCCCTGTCAGTGGGCACCTCTGCTGGTCTCTGTGGCCTACCCAGTTGGCCAACTGGGACCCTCCTCAGTGAGGGGTCTGAGGCCCTGGTCACCATCCCTGCTCAGGCCACAGCTGCTGTACTTGTCCACTCACCAATAAAACAGTTGAGGCAACACCGAGTCCCCCAAGTCCCACCACTTGGATCACCAGGCACCAAATTTATCCTTCCCTGCTCCCTCGTGGAGTAGCAGTTCTGCTGCCTCCTAATGGCCATAGCCCACCTCCCTCCCTGTTTGGGGGCTCCTTGTCATGACTGTTGGTCTCCAGGGACAAAAAATCCAAAGCGACAAGGCATCAGCTGTAGCCTGAAGTTCAGTGGGTCTCCCATCTGTCCACTGGTGGAGTGGTCCCCTGTGGAAACCACGACCCCTGACTGGCAGCCTGGAGTGGAGGGAACAACACGCACAAACCCCCCAGCAGGTCGCTGGCAGTGGTGGTACGGGGGACGCTGCTGCTTCTGCCCCTTGGTTCCCAGGCCTCTTGGGGACATGGCACGCCATGGTGGCTGTTGAGTTGGAGGGATTACCGAGTTCCACAATGTGACACCCCATCCTTGAACAGTATCACCCCCACGCTGGGGCCTTCATGGAACTCTGAAAAGGCTGCTCCCCTGCTCTGTGGTGCTGGCTGTGTCTGAGTGGTATGGGCCGTGATAGGACCAGCAGATGCCATGCCCACATGCCATGTGCCATGGCTGCACCTCCTCCCTGTGTTGTAAAGTGGGACCCTTGGTCCAAGGGACTGCTATGCAGGCCTTGTTTGGTGGATCAACACTTAATAAGTCCTAGGGGTCAGCCTGGGTTATGTGTCAATTCTAGTGGAGTTGAATTGCTGCCCTCAATGGGATGGATGCTTCTGTTGCCTGGTCAGCTTTCTCTATGGATAGTGCCTAGTGGGGGCTCCTCAGCGGCCCACATTGCAGACAAGTTGGGCATTTGTGGCAGCAGTGGCTAGACCAGCCTTGGTGGGTGGAGCTGTGCTGCTGGTTCCATGGTCAGCCTCCCTTTCTACCACCAAAGCTACTCCATGCATGCACCCAGAGGGCCAGCACTCAGGTGGCCAGGATGGAGGCTGGCTGAAGTCAAGGGCTACGGCCATTCTGTCTAACTGGTTGCTTAGTGGCTCCCTGGTGGATCCTCTCTGTTGGGAATGAACACGTGATACTGAGCTCTTCACCTCTCATGACCACACCCATGGGTTCATTCATGTGCCTCCTCTCCCGGGGTGGTGGGCAGAATGATGATGTCCCCCAAAATGTGTCCAGGGCTTTTTAAAAATAGGGATGGAATAGAACTCATCCACCCACTAATGGCTGCTTAACATGTACCCCATTCCGTATCCCTCTGCTCCAGCCAATACAGCACAGCTGGCACAGCAACAATCATTGGGCTACTGCTTGGTGGAGTTTGGGATTAGCTGTACCTATACACAGGGGCTTATTAGGGGAGGTTGGCTCCTGTGATTATGGAGGTTGGAAAGTATCCCCATCTGCCATCTGCAAGCTGGAGACCCAGGAGAGCTGATGGTGTAAGTTCCAGTCTGAGTGTGAAGGCAGAAGACTGATATCCCAGCTCAAAGACAAGCATCTCTTTGAGCTGGGATATCAGCCATGTTGAAATTTGGTCCCCAGTGCTGGAGGTGGTGTCTAATGGGGGTGTTTGGGTTGTGAGGGCAGATCCCTCATGGATGGCTTGGTGCCATCCTCATGGTAGTGAGTGAGTTCTCACTCTGAGTTCCCCTGAGAGCTGGTTGTTGAAAACAGCCTGGCAGTCCCCTGTTCCCTTGTTTCCTCTCACCATGTGATCTCTGCACACACTGGCTCCCTTTGATCTCCTGCCATGAGTGGAAGCAGCCTGAGGCCCTCATCAGCAGCAGATGCAGGTGTCACGTTTCTTGCACAGCCTGCAGAACTGTGAGCCAAATAAACCTCTTTTCTTTAGCAATTACCCAGTCTCCAATATTCCTTTATAGCAACAAATACAGACTAAGACGGGTAGGGAGAGCGAATTTTATCTCACTTAATCTTTTTGTTTTAGTCAGACCTTCAACTGATTGGATGAGGCCCACCTTCACCAGAGAGAGTGACCTGCTTTTCTCAGACCACAGATTCACATGCTAAGCATATCCAGAAACACCTTGCAGACACACCCAGAATAATGTTTAACCAAATATCTGGGCACCCCATGGCCCAGTGAAGTGGACACCTAAAGTGGACACATAAAATCTCCCATCACAAGTTGACAGTAGTCTGTTAGCATCCTCCGGGAAATGGGGGAGATGATGGGAATCACCTCACCTACAACCCTCAAGTCTTCCAAAGGGGCCCACATCTCTGCCATTCCCCACCAATGAGATTTTCTTTTTGGTGTATTGCCTTGGCTAAGGCAGTGGGCAGTTTCGGAGGCTTCTACTCAGTAACACTATGATAGTTTTTACCCTACAGGACAATGAGCCTACATGAGGATCCAGCCAACTACCAAGATTGTCTGAGTGTACATTTAGGGTCTGGGGGAATATGCAGTGTTCTGGGGATGCAGAGGGCTGACTCAGTGTGAGCCAGATCTGGACCAGGATTGCACTTTGCTGGCCTCCATATGCCCTCCTCTAATGGGCCCATGATGGTGCCTTGACTCCAGCTGTCAGTGTCAACTTGGTCCCAGAGTCCCCCAGCCCTGGGCATTGGCCTTTTCCTAGTGCACAGTTACTTAAATACACCTTTGGTCCAGCAACCTATGAATTTAAACATTGAGTTATCTGCCCCCCTATGATAGATTGTATCTGTGACCCCAGTCTCTTGCCCCTTCCTGTGTCCGAGGCCAGCCATGACTTGCTGTCATAGGAATGTGCCCAGCCAAGATCAGTCAAGCAGAACCCAAACACATGAGCAGGAAAAACTGACTGTTGTGCGCCACGGAGACTGTGTAGATATGTGTTAATTTGCGTTTCTCATTATGGCAGCACCCTCCTTCACAGCACCTGCTTCTGTATTAGTCAGGATAGGCCAGGCTGTGTTGTGGTAGCAATCAGAACCCCCAAACCCAGCTGCTGCCAAGAGAGCAGGCATTGGGGGCCCGAGTGATGGGGACTTGGTGGTGCTGGAGCAGCAAACTTGCTAAAATCACTCCTGGTGACCTGGCAGGCGGAATACAAGAAGGCTCAGCCAGGAGCCCAAGGGGCGAAGTGGAAAAACACCACATTGTGAGTTTTGTGATAGGCCCAGTAACACGAGACGGAGACCAGCTTGAGAAAGAAGGCCCAGCTTACAAGCAGAGATGAAAGTGAACAGAGAGATGGATCCAGAAATTCAGAGCACTGCAAGGGCAGAAAAGCCAATTGCTCCAAGCGTTAGGATTTTAACAAGCTTTGGGAGACAAAGGCCCAATAAAATGCCTGAGTTGGACCGATCAACAGAAGACAAAGATGGGATTAAGGCCCATTCAAGCCTGAGAGCCTTCTGACAGCGGCCATTGAGTTGACAGAGAGGAATGAGAGCAAATACATCCTGAAACTTCAGTTTTCTGTGTGCATTAGCCATGGCTTACTGTGGTCTGAATATTTGTGTCCCTCCAAAATTCATGTTGAAACCTAGTCCCCAACGCAACGGTAGTAAGAGGTGGGGCCTTTGGAAGGCTCCACCCTCATGGGCGGGATCAGTACCTTATAAAAGCGTGAGGAATGAGTTTGGTGCCTGTATGCACTTTCACTTTCTGCCATGTGAGGACGGGGCAAGAAGGTCCTCTCCAGACACCTCCTGCAGCGCAGGATTCCCAGCCTCCGGAACTGTGAGCCATCCATTCCTACGATTTACAAATGACCTATTCTAGGGTGTTTTGTTAGAGCAGCACACACAGGCTAAGACAGACATTGGTACCAGGAAGTGGGGCTGTTGCTGTAACAACCACCTGAAAATGTGGTGGCAGAGCTGGAACCGGGTCATGGGAGAGGCTGGAACCATTTTGAAGAGCATGCTGGAAAAGCGCACATTTCTGTGAACGGAGGTGGTGCGAAGGTGACTCCCGTGCAGGCCGAGGCGGGCAGGGCTGTAGAGAGAGCCGCTGGGTTGGTAGCGATGACCTCAGTGGTCGTGATCAGAATGCTGGTGGAGATCCATGCAGTCAAAGCCATTCTCGTGAGGTCTTAGACAAACATGAGAACTGTCTTATTGGAAACTGCAGGGGGGCCGGCCCTTTTACGAAGTGGCAGGGAACCTGGTTGAATTGTGTCCGTGCCCTGGGGCTTTGTGGGAGGCAGAAGTTAGAAGCGATGAACTAGAATATTTGTTGGAAGAAATCTCTAAGCAAAGCACTCTGGACGCTGCATGGCTTCTGTTGACTGCTTATAGCAAAAGGTGAGGAAAGAGAAATGAGTTAAAGACATTGATAATAGAAAGGAAACAGAACTTAAAGACTTGAAAACTCTTAGCCTGCCCATGTCAAGAATAAGAAAGCGTGTTCAGGAGAGAATAGCAAGGGCGTGGCCAAACATATTTGGATAAGGAGATTAGAATGGGTAGAAGGAAACCAGAAGCTGCTCATCAAGACAATGGGAGAATGACCCCCAAGGCATTTCCGAGACCTTCCAGGCTGTCATGCCCATCACAGGCTCAGAGTGCCCAGGCCTTGAAGGCAGAATGGCTTCAAAGGAAGAGCCCAGGGCCTCTATGAGACCTTGGGGTGTGCTGCCCAGCCTTGCCTCAATCTCTGTTCCTCCCTGCAAGCTGGTGCATCACTCCTGGCCCACCCCCGTGGAGGCTCACGTGGGTCCAGG